TGGATCTTTTATCACATTCAAAACCATATTTTTCTTGAATAAAATGAATCACTGATCTCAACCATACGCATTCCCTACTTGCTTCATAAATAATTATTATCTCAGCATGATTTGAAGAAGTAGTAACAACAGATTATTTTGTGGAGCGCCATGATATGACAATACCTCCACATGTAAACACGTACCCGGTTTGAGATCGAGCTTTATGGGGATCAGATAAATAACCTGCATCTGCATAACCAATAAGATCTGCACTATCTTTGTTAAAATAAAACAAACACATATCAAAAGTTCCCTTTAAATATCGCAAAATATGCTTAATCTCATTCCAATGTCTCTTTGTAGGAGAAGAGTTATATCTTACTAGTAAATTAACAAAAAATGCTATGTCCGGTCTTGTAGCATTAGCAAGATACATAAGTGCACCAATTGCACTTAGATATGGTATTTCATGACCAAGGAGTTCCTTTTTCCTTTTTTGGAGGTCGGAACGGGTCCTTATTCACTTCAAGTGATCGAACAACCATTGGTGTACTCAATGGGTGCGCTTTGTCCATGTAAAAGCGTTTTAAGACCCTTTCTGTATAGGCAGATTGATGCATAAAGATCCCATTTGCTAAATATTCAATTTGCAGTCCAAGACAAAGTTTTGTCTTTCCAAGATCTTTCATCTCAAATTCTTTCTTAAGATATTCAATTGCCTTTTAGAGCTCTTCTGGAGTTCCAACAAGATTTATGTCATCAACATAAACAGCAAGTATAACAAATTCTAATGCCATTTTCTTTATAAAAATACATGGACAAATGACATCATTTATGTAACCCTCTTTCAACAAATATTCACTGAGGCTATTATATNCCACATGCTCCCAGATTGCTTTAAACCGTATAAAGATCTTTGTAATCTGATTGAGTACATTTCCCGAGATTTTGAATATGCTTCAGGCATTTTAAATCCTTCAGGGATTTTCATGTAAATCTCATTATCAAGTGACCCGTATAGATAAGTTGTAACCATATCCATTAGATGTATTTCAAGCCTTTCACGTAAGGCTAAACTGATGAGATATCGAAATGTTATGGCATCCATAACGGGTGAATATGTTTCTTCATAATCGACTCCAGGTCGTTGTGAGAATCCTTGTGCGACAAGGCGAGCCTTGTACCTTTCAACTTCATTTTTGTCATTCCTTTTTCGCACAAAAACTCATTTATGACCAACTTGTTTTATACCAGCAGGTGTTTGGACTACTGGTCCAAAAACCTCTCTTTTAGCAATTGCGTTCATTCTGATTGAATTTTCCCTTGCCATTTTGGCCAATCAGATCTTTGTCGACATTCTTCGACAGATCGGGGTTCAAAATCCTCACTATCTTGCATAATGTTAAGTGCAACATTATAAGCAAAAATATTATCCACCACTATTTCAGATCGATTTAAATTAATCCCATCACCAGTAGAACTTATTAAAAGTTCCTTGCTCACTTGAGTCTTGGGTTCGGTGATTTTTTCAGGAATCTCAGAACTAATCAGATCTTGGGTCTCTTCAGGAGATCCTTTCATAGTATCGTTATCATTTGTCGATTTTCTTTTTCGAGGATTTCGATCCTTAGAACCCAAAGGCCTACCACGCTTCAGGCGTGCTTTAGGTTCACTAGCTCTCAAGCTAGTAGATGGTCCTGCTAGGACATCAATTCAGATAGGCACATTCTCTGTAGGGATATGTGACTTAGTTATCCTATTCAAATCAGTAAATGCGTCTAGCATTTGATTTGCTATATTTTGTAAATTGATGATCTTCTGGACCCCCTGATTACATATAGGGGTACGTGGATCAAAATAAGATAACGATGAAACTTTCAACACAATTTCTCTTTTAATTTCCTTTATCTCTCCCCCTAATTGTGGAAAATTTATTTCATCAAACCGACAATCTGCAAATCGAGCAGTAAATAAATCTCACGTCAATGGTTCAAGATAGTGAATAATAGAGGGTGATTCAAACTCAACATATATTCATAACCTTCTCTGTGGGCCCATCTTACTGCGTTGTGGTGGTGCTACTGTCACATATACAACACATCCAAAAATTTGTAGATGGGCAATATCTGGTTCATGACCAAAACCTAATTGTGACGGAGAATATTTATTATAATGTGTCGGTCTAAGACGGATAAGTGATGTTGCATGCAATATAGCATGGCCCCAAACAATAGTGGACAATTTTATTTTCATAAGTAGTGGTCTTGCTATCAATTGCAGGCGTTTAATAAATGACTCTGCAAGGCCATTTTGAGTATGAACATAAACTACAAGATGTTCAATTGTTATCCCAACTGATAGACAATAATCATCAAAAGCTTGAGATGAGAATTCTCCAGCATTATCAATGCGAATAGCCTTTATGGGATAAACTGGGAATTGTGCCCTTAATCGAATTATTTGGGCTAATAGATTTGCAAACGCCAGGTTGCGAGATGATAGTAGGTAGACATGAGATCATCTTGAAGATGCATCTATTAGGGCCATAAAATATCTAAACAGCCTACTTGGTGGGTGAATAGGTCCACATATATCCTCATGTATGCGTTCTAAAAAGGCAGAGGATTCAATGCTAACCTTCATTGGTAATTGTCTAGTGATCATTTTGCCTTGATAACAAGCATCACAAGAAAATTCATTATTTGTAAGAATCTTCAGGTTTTTTAATGGATGCCCACTCGAATTTTCAATAATTCGTCTCATCATTATTGATCCAGGATAGCCCAAACGGCCATGCCAAAGCACGAAAATATTTGAATCAGTAAACTTCTGGTTTACGATATAGTGTGCTTCAACTGTACTAATATTTGAATAGTATAAGCCAGAAGATAAAGTTGGTAACTTTTCTACAATGCACTTTTGGCCAGAAACATTCTTTGTAATACAAAGATATTCCATATTCATTTCATCAGTCATCTCAACATGATACCCATTTCGGCGAAAATCTATAAAACTCAACAAGTTTCTTCGGGACTTGGAGGAGAATAATGCATTGTCTATAATAAATTTTGTTCCCTTAGACAGAAATATAGTGGTTCTTCCGGAGCCTTCAATTAAACTTATATTACCAGAAATTGTTGAAACATTTACTTTTTCCTTATGCAAATAAGAAAAGTATTTCTGATCTTTGAATATGGCATGAGTTGTTCCACTATCAATTACACAAATATCTTCATGATTGGTCTTTGATCCAAACATAATTTGAG